ATGAAAATTACAAGTTCAAATGTCAAAATAACATTCCAGCAAAACACGTCATCTTGAGATCAAGTTTCGACCATCTTCCCGTACTAATTGGGCTTCAGTAGCTGAAATAGAAATTGTAGCCCTATCTGTTAGCTGCAAAAAGCAACAAGAACGGAGTCAATCGGACATCTGTAGTGTGAGATATGGTTAAAATACAGAAGTAGTGTAAATTTGGAAAATTATGACGAAAATCAATTAAACCGAACTAAAATCTAGAATAGTGAATTGACCCAAAAGACCTTTATTTAATTCAAATAAATCATAAAAATACCAACCAAGAGTAATAAATAAGTGTAACAAAATATGAGTTATCAGAGCTCAAGGCCCCTCCTACACGCTTGAGCTCTTTCATGAGCGCTTAAGCTCCCTTGTGAGCGCTTAAGCTCCCTTATGAGCGCTTAAGCGCCCTCCACCTGTGCAAAACACTACTTCCTTTGTTTTCATGTATTTCTCTTGGGAACTTTCTCCCCAATGCCATTACACCTAACAAACTTTACATATATCATTGTACACACCAAAATGGTAATAACATAATACCTCATTACATCGATGTTCTAATGAATCATGTACAACAATGTTCTTCAAAATAAATACATGCCAAAGAACTTATAACAACATCTCATTGTTGCGAAAAATCGGCAAGTGTACCGATCGTTCCAAGTAATAAAATGATGAGTAGAGTATCGTCTCCACGAAGATTGAGGCACCGAAATTATTATAACTATTCCTCTCTTGTTGGATTAATAAAAATGGTTTAAAGGTAATTATGATTTGTGAAATAATGAGAACAATTCAAGAAAGCGTAAATAATTCAAAGGTTCTTAAAGAATTCAAGAACAAAAGATTGAAAGTTGAGAAAATGTTTGAGAAAATATTGCGGTAAAGAGAAACAAACACCTTTACGATCCCCACCTTGCAACTTGGATTACATTTACGTTTACTTATTCAATTGATCAAATGATTCATCATCTTTTATATGATTAGCTAATCCCTAATCCCTTAGTGACTTTAACTTTATTAACTCTATTAGAATCCTAATCCCTTAGAAATCCCTTTTCAAGTTAACCCTTAAAATCAATGAATCTTTGACGTTTGCGGTTTATGTAGCCTATCCCTAGTGCATACATGAACAGTTATCTTACCCTTTGTCAGGAATTAGAATTCAAATATCCTTATTGAAAACCCTAACCCTCGCAATCCTGATAGATTGATCAGTTCCAAAAGAATTGTAGAATGAAGAACAAGGCAAGACAAATTCAATTTAAATAGATAAACATAAACTTCAACCAAACTACAAGGGGTTCACATCAAGGGTTGTGACCCTTACCATAATAATAAAAGACTAGCCAAAAATATTCATGTCTGCCAATTCAATAAATAGAAAAGAGTTCATAAAAGAATAAAACCAGAGAAGGAGAAGAAGACTTCTTGAATCTTTCAATCGCCAAGAGTTGCTCTCCGATCTCTGCCTTCAACTCGAATCCTTGTTTTTCTCTCTGTCGTACTGTTGATCGATCCCTAATTCTATCTATTTAGCATCCTTTTATATTCCTTCTTGCGTGTCTTCCAAATTTTCCCTTCAAAGCACGCGGACAGGTTTCCCGCAAACTGGCGCAGACTCGCACCATTATGGCGCAGGATCGCGCCACCTTCAAAACACGAGGTCAGTTTCTCGTAAACTGGCGCGGACTCGCGCCACTATGGCGCCGGATCGCGCCAAATCTCTGGAATTTGGCCTAGAGAAACTGGCGCAAACTCGCGCCACTATGGCACAGGATCGCGCCAAATCTCTGGAAAATGGCAGAAGCACTATTGGATCAAATGGCGCGATTTGCACCATACTCAACAAGTTCAACTTCTCTCCTTCACTTCATTTTTGGTGTTTCCTGCTATTAAAATACATAAATTGAGTGAGAGAATGATTGAGAAAGAATAGTCAGTATTTATAACATTTATGACTATTTTTCAACCATTATTGATTAATTCCTTGCTTCTTTTAGCTTAGAAAGCATCATATGTTGGACGCATATCAAACAATTCTCAGATTTAGATGTTGCTGTCCTCAGCAATAAACAGGATTAAAACATGGGAAGCAAGGTTCAATTAATCAGGCATAACATTGCACAGACAATCACAAAGATTACTATACTAAGCATGAATGATTTCCAAGTCAAAACTTAAAACGATGCTTTTCAATTTCATTCAAATATCAGAGTCTAATTTGATTACCCCTCACAAAGACATATTATTCACTCATCACTCAGTGTTTGGGGTATTCATCATCACTCATTCCATCACAGCCGTTGCACTACCATAAGCTTGATCTTATTCTCAAGTTCCTGAAGATGAGGAACATCAAAACATGCATGATTGATCAAAAGGGCTTCTCAAGGTTATAACTTGGCTTGGCTTAAGGTTAGGATCATTTGGAAAGTAGCTGAAATATCATTGAGATTGAAACACCCATTTTCATTAAGACCCGTGCATATCTCAATTCAGGTTTCAGTTCCACTATTTACTTGAATTCATGATTCATCCTTTTTTCACCTTTTTCTTCATCATTGCTTTTCTATTTTTCTATTTTTCTTTCCTCTTTGAATTCATTTGAGGATTATTCTTTTCTTTTTCTTTTTTTAATTGCTTAACTTCTAGTGGAGCTCACCTCGATTACTTTTTTTTTAACTTTTGATTATTGACATTTCAATCTCAATCAAGGTAAGTTTTGATAGAAGTGGTTTAAACAGTTTCATCTGATAATTGAACAAAAATGGTCTTAAGCTCAACAAGGCTAGCAATGGATGATATTTTAGGTGGCTATTTGGCCATAGGCTAATAGAATAAAATGCCTTTATCACTTCAATCAACACATGCATTGGAGAGAATTAGATCAAGTTCTAGAGTACCACTACAGTGTGGACTCTAAAAAAAAAGTTACTGTATAGGCTCAAACCTCACCAGCTGTGGTATCAAACTAGACTATTCCTAATTTTATTCCAAGCATCATTATCCATTATTAACATAGAAATCAACAAACGAGCAATCATAGTCTCTATTCATGCTCTATGCAATGTCATGACAGTGATCAATATCATGCAAGTTTCCTTATTTTCAACCGAGGAATTGACTGAGTAGCACATCTAAATCTGAAATGTGCTTTCACATAATAATTTTATTATTAATTCTAATAGAAAATAAAACTAAAAAAAGAATTTTGACTACTAAAAAAAATAAACTGGAAAGGTTAAAATAACTCCCCTGAAGTAGACAAGAATCCTCTGATTTTCTGTTGTTCCTCTGTGTGTGATACCTCAAATAACGCGTATGCAGCCAATTCCCAGATTTAAAAATTTGTTATCCTCAGCAATAACTAAATTGGTTGGAGAAAATAACTGTTGCGCAAGTAAAAACAACACACACATGTAAAATATCAAGCAGAAAATAACATGACCAATGTACTGGAAAATTACAACCCAAAGCACTAAAGATGTCTCAATGACTCAAAAATGGACTCAAAAATTAACTATTTTCTAAATTTTAAAAGACTCAACATAATTAAATAAATAGGAAAATGACTCAAAAATTATTGGGTTGCCTCCCAAACAACGCTTGTTTAACGTCACGAGCCTAACGCACTCCCTGTGATTATGGTGGTTGGAAGCACGCTACCATTGACGACCCAATCTTCTTGGTCCAGTATTGTGTCTTTCCATAATAATCATATGCACGTGGATGAGGATGAGGGTTCTCAGGAACTTTAAATTTAGTCTTCACATGCTTTTCCTTATTCCTGGATTTTTCCATCTTAACCCTTGGCTTGCTTTCTTCATGCCGCTGATGGACTTCCTTCTTTATGGGATTTAATCTTCTCTGAGGTTGTCTCACAGGTTTAACATTGTCTTCCATTAGAATTTTGTGAGTACAGAAAGAATGGTTGATGCCCTTCAAATAAGAAATAGACCACCCAATAGCTGTCTTGTGCTCCTTGAGCACTTTCAACAACTTCTCTTCTCCATCCATAGACAACTCTTTATTGATGATAACAGGGTATTTCTCTTCATCTCCCAAAAAGGCATATTTCAGAGTTTCAGGCAACTCTTTCAATTCTATTTTTGGTGCCACTGTAACTAGATCATTTTCTTTCTTTTCTAGCACCTCAAAAACAACTTCTAGCTCTTCTTGTGGAGTAGCTTCATCTTGAGCCTTCAACTCTTCTTCAAGCTCTTGATAATCACTTTTCTCTTCCATAACCACCTCTTCAAACACATCAAGTCTGAAACAATCACTATGATCAGATGAATTCTTCTTAGCATCGAAAATATTAATAGTGATTTTCTCATCATTCATCCTCAACTCGAGCTTTCCTTGTTCTACATCAATCATAGCTCGAGTTGTGGCCAAGAACGGTCTACCCAACAAAAGGGGTATTTCACTCTCCTCCTCCATATCCAACACAATGAAATCAGCAGGGAAAATGAACTTGTCAACCTTGACAAGGACATCTTCTATTATTCCATTAGGTCTCCTCAAAGAACGGTCAGCAAGCTGTAGAGAGACCATGGTTGGCTTCAACTCAGAAATTCCCAATGACTTGCATATTGACAATGGCATCAAATTGATGCTTGCTCCAAGATCACAGAGTGCCCGACCTACATTAGTGTTGCCTACTGCGATTGGGATGTTGAAACTCCCAGGATCTCGAAGCTTTGGTGGAAACTTCTTCTGTATAATGGCACTACACTCCTCAGTAAGTGCTACTATCTCACAATCCTGCAACTTATGCTTTCTAGACAACAAATCTTTCATGAATTTAGCATAGTTAGGCATATTAGCTAAAGCCTCAGCAAAAGGAATATTAATATGTAACTTTTTAAACATATCTAAAAACCTAGCATATTGTTGCTTCTGTGCCTATTGCTTGAGCTTCATGGGATAAGGAGGTTTCTCAAATCGAGAATAATCCATCAGCTTCTTTGGAGCTTCAACATGTTTCTCCTTTGCCTCTTTTTTTTCTTGCTCGACAGGCTCTTCTTTATAACTTGCAGTGTTTTCTTCTCTTTTTCTGGTTCAATTACTGATTCATCAAACTTCTTTTTCTGAGCCACCTTTTGCTTGTCTTGAGGAGTAATCACAATTCCACTCTTAGTTACAATGGATTTGCAGTCTGCCTTAGGATTCACGATAGTATCACCAGGAAACTGCCCTTGAGCTCTTTCAGCTAACTGTCTAGATAACTGACCTATCTGAGTCTCCAAATTCTGGATGGAAGCATCTTGGTTCTTGTGATAGGCTCTTGTCTCATTCATGAAGGCATTAGTAGTCTGTATGTGATCATTTGTAGTCTTGGAAAGCTGCAGCATTGCTTTCTCCAATTCTGATGGCTCTTTATATGGAAGAGGATGAGGTTGCAGGTAATTGTTGGATTTATAATCCAAGCCTCCAACTTGATTTCTCCTTTGAAAGTTGCTTCCTTGGGCACCGTTCTGATTCCTTTGAAAGCTTTGGATATTTTGTGGTGGCCTTGGATCATACCAAACTCCGTTAACCTGGAACGGATCAGATCCCATGAGTGTTGGGCACTCATTAGTCTCATGATCCCCTTTCCAGGACTCGCAGTTAACTGAGTTAACTTGAGCCGTAGATATTTGCATCTTGTCTAGCTTGGCATTCATACTGGCTAGCTGTTGTGCAATCACTTTTTGCTCAGCTAGAGATGCATCATTGTTCCCCAGTTGTAGAAGTTCTTTCTTCGGTTGAACTGGTTGAACTTCCATTGAAGCATTCTCGTTCCTTGCCATGTAATCAATCAGCTCCAGAGTTTCAGCTGCTGTCTTCTTTCCTATGGTTCCACCGGCTGCACCGTTGACAACCATTCTGGAATCTGGTGTCATCCCATTGTAGAAGACTTTAACCTTCTTGGCATCTGGCAAGTCGTATTGGGGGCGCTTTCTGATCAACTCCTGGAATCTAGTCCAGGCTGCACACAAGGTCTCTCCCGGATGTTGAATAAAGTTGGTGATTTCATTCACCAACTTATTGTACTTTTCCCTAGAAAAGTGCTCAGCAAAGAACTTGGCTGCTATCTCGTCCCATGTTCGGATATTGTTAGGAGCTTGTCGATCTAACCATCTGAGGGTTTTCCCGGTCAAAGCAAAAGGAAACAACCGGAGTCTGATTGCATCATCAGACAGTCCATGATGCTTAGTTGTGTCACAGATTCTCAGAAATCTGTCCATAAAGTCATGAGGATCTTCGTAGTCTTCTCCACCAAAAGGAGTTCTCTCCACTAAAGTAATCAGTGACGAATGGATGTTATAGTTATTGGCATCTATCTGTGGCTTGACAATTCTAGAGTTCGGTCTAGTGAACATAGGAGCAAGAATTGACTCCATCAACTTTTCTGCGGGAGGTGGATTAGGGGCTGCCATCACTGGTTCTGTGTTGGGCTTAGAACTCGAAGACTCTTCTTGCTTTCCTTGCTTGGCTAGCTGTCGGTTCTTCTTTGCAGTTTTCTCTATTTCTGGATAAACTGTAAAGTGTCTCGATTTACTTTACCTCGCATAAACTAAAGTAAAAAAAATTAGTAACAAAACAAAATCTAATCAAGAAAATCAAAAGTTATAAATAAAATTGGCGCTGTACACCGGTATTGTTAACATTAATCATGATATTAAGCGCAGTTACAATAACAACAATTTAATTATAAAAAAGCGAGCAAACTTTTTTCGTTTATTACGCGAGCATTTAAAACAATAAAAAGCGTAATAAATCAAAGTTGTGACCGTAACTGTAAAATCTTTGCAGAATAATTATTTAAACTAACTAGATATCATATATTACATCTCTCAAGTCACTGAGGGGTTCCCATAAACCCACTTAGCTAAAATCTCACTGTTAGGTTTTCTACCTATCCGAACATGGTTCGGTCTTTGAATTTCTGCGGACAAACTGCATTCTACAAGCCTCTCATTTTTTGATATGTTATTATACACTTAAATACCTTTCTAATAATCTATCACACGAGTCATAAAGTTCTCGTTTTCTCCGGATATCGTCGTTTGAAGTTGGACAAGCAAATCTGCCAGCCAACCTCAAAACGGCTCCAAACAGCCTTCACTCAATCAATTATTCTAGAAAATCCACTCAACCAATTTCTCTCAAATTTTTATACAATAAACAGGACACCTCAAGCTTCAATTTGACATATCATACACCTTATTTGACAAAGAAAAGAAGCAGGAATAATTTTCCCAAACTCACTCCAGATCAGCCACATGTGCAGTGGCCAAATGAGTAGTCCGTGCTCTCTTCCTTCTACAGGCCGACGCCCAACCCAGAAAAATTCCAAATTTTACCACAAGATATAGGACATCTCAAGATTCAAAACGGCGTATGGCACGTCCCTATCGGACCTCTGCAGAGGGAGATATGCTCTCTCAAAGTTCACCTAAATTCTGCCAATTTCTAGAAAATTCGCAAGAGTTTCCTTTATTTTTCCAATAAATCCCAAATTTGCAAATGTGTTCTCTAACCTCAATTTGTACCTAATAAACATTGGGTGCCACACAAGGACCAGTAATGCCTTGGTGCTATTACAACCCTTCACAGTTTATATCCAATTTAATCAATATACATACTTCATGCTTACTTTCTCAATTTACTTATTTCAATCACAAGGTCCAATTGTATGCATTCTTTAAATCATAAATCATCATTCACATCCTAGAATAGGCCTATTGCCCTTTCATCATATTACATACTTCATGGTTACATCAATTCTCCATATTACAATTTACAACTTCACAAATGGACATATTACAATCTTCCTTCAAGTATACAAAATAAATGCTCCAAAATAAAACATGATAATCAAAGACTAAACTTAGAGAAAATACATCATGAACAAAATGATAACCATAATCCTAATCATATGCATTGTTCATGACCTAAGTCTAGCCTTGGTCCAATGGCCCCAAAATGCAAAATCATCATAAGTCTATGAGCTCATCCTACGGGCCTCTTGCCTGCCGCTCCAACTCCACTAGCACTACCTGAAATAAAGCCTCCAAAGCGGGGTGAGATATACGAATATATCTCAGTAACCCAGAGGTTCTGGAGAATACTCTGCCCAATGGCTCACTTTGATGCATATAAATAATACAACATAACATCTGAAAACGGGATAAAGCAAGGGATTTAGTGAAATAGGGGAGCATAGGGATACAAAATACGACGAAGCTGGAATGGTCAATGCCAAAATCACGCAACATCCAGTCTATTGGCCTCGGCAGATAAGCCTACGGGTTTCAAACCAAGGAGTGTTCCCAGAACATCAACCAAGGCACCCTCCATCCATATCCACCAGAGACTTCCTAGTGTGCTCCTCTACGGATCACACACCACGACCCCAGGTCAACTGGAACTCCCTCACGGAGACCTATCCAGTGGAAGTCCGTAACGCCCGAAGGCAAACAATTTACTGGCCAGAGACACGGTACATCCTATGTACCACCACACATACAATATGCATGAATATGTTATCCTATATTATTTACATACATTTCCTACCATTACCCTCAACGGGCATGGTGGAACACACAAGGGATCAAACCCCAGTACCAAGGGATTACCTTACTAATCACCTTCTCATAGCTCCAATGCAATATTTCCTCGAGCTAGGTACAACAGAAATGCCTACACATAGGACATTCCCAATTTAATTTCCTTTCACCAATTACATGCCAATTATCAAGCATAAATGCATGATTCAAAATACTTACCACAATCCCTTTTTGTCCGGGACCAAGGGCAACCCACCAAGCTCACGGTTCCGAGTTCAATTCCGCGGGAGGCAACCTACAATGATCACACAAGGATCATCAATACAAGGTGCAATCGACCAAGATTACAAAGCACCAAAATCCTCCCCTACATAATGGTAGGTTCGGCCAACATAATGTTAATTTCCAAAATATTTTCCTAAATTTTCTTTTTATTTTTCTTTAGCATCATAATGCTACCACAACACTATTTAAGGTGCTACTTTCCATCCTACACCATCTCAAAACCCTTTTTTCATTTATTCCACTTTAGGTCCGATTGTAAATTCCACATAGACCAAGTATTTTTCCTTTTATTTTTCATGCATCCACTCATCACACTACACCTCTAAACACCATTTAACACCACAACACATCAATTACATAATTTTACAACATCACACCCTATATGCCCTCTCTAGGCCGAATTCAACATGCTCACAAACTAAAGGGTATTCAATCCAATTTAATACTTCCACACACCTTACAATCCTATATTTAATTCATACAAACACTCCACAACTCAATTACACAATCATCCCACAAAGTCATTTCATAAAGTGTTGAATCATCCATTCCAAAATTTGACCAAGTTACCAATAAATTCATCAATAATTTTTATGACATCAATCACTCTAAAACATCATTCTAAGTCACTTTCATCTAATACACAATTTCAATTTGAGCTCTCTAACTACATCAATTACACAACTCATGCTCTAAGTTTTCAAAATTTAGATTCATGAATCAAGCCATAAAAGGGGTTGAAATATACTCACAAGCTTGGCCTAGGACCCCTCCAAGTGATCCCCAAGCAATGGCTTGAACACACAACTCCAAAATCACAAAAACCCCTCCAAATTTAGTGGCTGGTTTGGCCCCATTTCTCTCAAATGAGAGGGTTTCAAGGAAAAATAATCGGTGGGTTGTGTTCGGATGATGATTTCCAACAATTTTGCTCACAAATTTTTCTTGATTTGGGGTTGTATGGAGGGAGTTATGAGAGAAAGAATATTTGGAAGCAAATCTCCCCTTCCATTGAAGCAAGCACGGTTTTGGTGAGGGAGGAGGAGAGAGAGTGAGCTGATTTAGTGGTGAGGTCCAAGTGGCAAGGTCCACTTAAGTGAGGTGGGCCCCACCGCCACGCGATTTCAAACTAATTCGAATTTTTCTCCTATTCTGCTAAACGTTCATAATTTCCTAAACTAATTAGAAATTCTAATTTTTAACATTAACCATTATCCTTTAATTTCCCTTGATCAGATGAATCCGAAATTTTCCGTTCGTTCGGAGAAATTGCAGTTTTAAGCTGTTACGCGCGCTATGGACACGCTTCCCCAAACTCACTAATTTCTGTCAATTTTCCTCATAAATCATATTTCCTAGTCCTATATACCATTTATAACTTATATCCAAACCTAGAGCTCAAAATTCATTCGGCACACTTTACGGTGCAACTGTACCGCGATATTTTTACATGGTAAAAATACTATTCACCAAATTTTCCGAAACTTGCCTAACCACTCAATTTTTCGTTCTGAATCCATTTCCAGGGTTATTTTTATCATTTGAGATCTCCTATTCAATTTTACCTGGCTAGGGTTATGTGTTTGGCTAATTACCGTTTTACCCTTCCTTTGTATTTTGACCTAATTTTCAGGATTTTCACTAATCCTTCCCTTTAATCCAATGTTAATATATTAATATATAATTTAGAAATGTGAGGTGTTATACAAGTTGAGGCTTATCATCTCAAGAAAGGCTTGCAAAACACAATCTCAAAGTAGGATGGGAAGCACTAACCTTTTTCTCATCAAACTAATTCAATAGTCTAGATTCTCAATATGTTTTCCCATTCATGGCTTTTCGAACACAATAATTCTAACCATTCTACAAGCTGTCTAATGCTTGGTGCAGTCATCAGTAGTTGATGATTTTCAGTATCTTAGGAAAAACAACATGCTTTTAGCTCGGGATTAAGGCATTGACACAAAAAGAAGAAAAAGAGTTGTATGTATATTTTTACAAAACTTGCATCCTGTTCAAGGGAAAACTAAGGAAATTTGAAACAGACAATTTTACAAAAATTGTATCATTTTCACTAGACAAAATACACCATTCAACCATGATCAGTAAAGTGGTAAAAGTTAGGAAGCTTCTTAATGAAATATTTTTCTGCATTTTATACGAGGGCATATGGCCATACAGACATATATTTGGAAATTTGACATTGGCATACTAGTTTAGCAATGAAATATTCACAATGTACTCAAATGCATTAACATTACAAGGAAAAAGTATCAATTTATAACAATAATAATAAAAAAAGGTTCTATTACCTCAATTGGGTCAGTTTCCTACTCCAACTCGACCATGACAGGAGCATTCATATTGCTCAGCCAGAAAAGTAATATTTTTTTATAGCACAACAAATAATTTGATGCACCTAGGTGACTGACTTGGATTGAGCTTTTTTATAATTATTCCATAGCTTAGGGCTTTTCAATAATTGTTAATTATTTTCTTTTTGTTATTTTTAGATTATGTTTGATTGTGCTTATCTCCTTTGATTGCACATGATTATAGTTATTTACTTTTTTGTTATTTTA